CCCCTTCCCATCCTTCTTACGTCAAGACGTGATGGTGTGTACATGTGAAAAAAGATGTTACCTGTGTACCATTCACTCACGAGTTTCGCATCTATCGCTAGCTTCACAAATTGGTCCTGGTGCATGTCACAGGCACAAAAGGAACACACAGTTAACAACGAAAAGCTAGAGTCTTCAGTATTTGGTCCAATTTTCGGTCCAGATACAGCTATAATGACTGGGTGTTCTATTCGGGTGAAGATGGGAGTAAACACCAGGGGCATGGTCCCACTAGCAAAGAGGATGGGATAGAATGCCAGAATGTGGACAAGATTATTGAGATGTGCATGAAATCGAGATTGAGCTGCGTTTCTGCATCTCTGCATAAGAGACATCCAGATTCAGGAACTCGATCCTATCCGTTTTGCTAGTGGGACCTTGGCCCAGGAGCATGGTCCCACTAGGAATGGGATAGGATAGAAAAGAGTTTGTGTGGCAGTTGAGTGACCCAAATCCTGCCGTGCACTACTCGTGATCTCACCGTCAATATTTTATACTATTATGTATTACCCAAAAAAAAGTAAGGAGATCTTGGTTCCCCTCCTCTCCTTAACGCTCACTGGGCATGCCGGTGGAAAGGAAGCTTCCGGCCAAAATCTTTTTAATCCGTTGGGGGTATGGCCAACCCCAAAAGAGGGTGGGGTAGGCCATAGGCCCACTGGATAGAAGATTCTCAGTATTTTACTCGCTGTTGTGCAATTATCTCATTGGGTGGAGCCCTCCTTTGATGGGATGTTCAAATCACCCCCAGACGAAACCCTGGCCCTTTTTTTTTTTTTTTTATTATTATTATTATTATTTAAGTTTAGACACATGTATTGAAACTGCTGATGCTCATAGGGGGAGGGGACGGGGGGGGAGGCACAGCTACTGGCCCATTGAAGCAGCTCGGTCCTGAGGCTACGGGCTGACCCCTGACCGGTAGCGCCCACCTGCTGTAGCAGGTATCGCACCCGCTGGAGGCTTGAGCACGGATGTGGCTGCTACGGGGTTCCCCGTAGTACTATAATTAGTAATTAGTAATTACAATAAAAAAGGCCTGGAAGGCCGTTCTGCCCGGATTCGACAGGCCTGGGAAGAATTAGCCTTAAAAAAAAAAAAAAAAAAAAAAAAAAAAAAAAAAAAAAAAACTATTGATGTACCAAATGGGGTAATGCTAGAAGGTTGATGCAAAATGTTGAAGTGGTAAACCACCAGTACATCCGAAAGAGCAGATCGGTCCTCTCCTAAAAATTCGGAGGCTGTCGACCGTGGAAAAAATGGATGGGCGGTTGATGGCCTTGTAATTTTCAGGCCGGGAAACAACGATGGTACCCAGATGCACCCAGATACACCCACAGAGCAGCCCATACGAACGAAGCGGCGCACACAGACAGGCCCACAATCCCTACACAGAGTCCTATCTACCCATCCCTCCACGTCCCTATTTATTTATCATCCCACCCCCATCTATCCCCTCGTAGTGTTTCAAGCATCCCTAACCCCAAAGGTTCTGGTTTTTTTTTTTTTTTTTTTTTTCCCCTTTGTTTCTGGATTGTAGTCGTTTACTCATTTGCATCCAGTGGAGTTTGAACTCAGCACCTGGTCTGTATTTTCAACAGTTCAGTCCAGGGGGGGTGTACCAACTGTCAACTGACCTACACCAGTTGGTTAACCCAAAAGATTCCCCAGATGGGTTTTCCGGACTTTTCCCCACAGATACACATGCTCACAAAAGACCTCCCTTCACCTCTCTCTCTCCGTCTCTCCCACGTACACATACACATGCACATACACACACACACCCCGACAGATGCCGGAGCGCACCCACACCCACCCGCACACGCGCCCTCACACCCACAGGCATACGTGGCTGAGTGGGTGTGTAGAAGTGGGGGCGTTCTGGGGGTGGCAGTTGCGGTTTATGGCTGTGACAGATACAGTTTCTCACAAATTCTCAGACTTACAGCCGTTCCGTTCTTGTCGGGGATTTGGATCAACAGTCTGCTAGGATTGGAGGGTTGGTGCGAGAAAGTCAACTGCTTTTTTAAAATTTTTCTTCTTATTTTAACGGCTAGGGGGCAGGATCGGTCGACCATTTTTCTCACTGACAGGGGTATCGCTAACTCTGGGCGATGTGGTTTAGGGTCCTTTTTTTTTTTTTTTTACTCACGAGACTCCCATCCCACCACTCCTCTCGATATACATCTCCTGGCGCACCCCCACTCCATTTCTATCTTACCTCATGCGAGGAACATCACTCTCTACTGGAGCAACCTGACCAGACAGCGGATGCGGGCACCGACACTGAATGAGCTCCCCCATTCAGCCCCAGTTGAGGCACTAGCGTACAAGCCTCGTTATACGGGAACCTTGGGAGCTAGGCACATAGTTCTCGATAGCCTCGTTATACAGGCATTGTCGGAGAAGTTCTTACCAAGGGAAACTCGATAGCCCGTCGGCTACCCAGTAGTAACTTGCCTACACCCCGCCCTCCCACCTACTGTCCTGAAATGCGACAACCTGTCGGATACCAAGCGAGTAACCGGCCTGCCCCATACTGATGGTACCCACGCCCTCCTATAAAACTGCCTGATTCGTTTTTCTGATCCCACCAGTGCAGTGTTTTCTTCTGTCTTATCGCGACTCGTCACCTTTTTGTCCGCTACCATCACTCCATCTGGTTTATCTGTCCCATCTCGCGTTTCACCACCTCCCACGCAGCAATACTTGCGCATCTCTTACCACGGTTTCTCTACACCCCTTTGCAAACACAGCTGTTCTTTGTACTACGGATCCCTGAAATCTTTCCCTGACGGATATGCTACCTTACCTCTCGTCGCTACCTACACGCTTCCCTCGTTTTTGCTTCTCCCGTCCCACCTGAGCGCGCTTGCGGTTACTTCTTGCACCCTCGCTCTTGCATCTGGTCTACCTCACATACTTTCCCTTCCCGCCCATCTGCTGTCAGGCCCTGATCCATGGCGTCATGTCAGATCCTGACTCGTTGGGTCTGCCTGGCGACTCATCGTGGCAATATGGCGGGACCACTGCAACCTCGATACTTGGAACAAGTGACGATCTCTAGTCTACCTCCCTGTGAGAACTTTGGGCGCAACTAATTATTCTAGTAAGTTTGCTTCTTCATTAGCGCACTCCAAAGTCCCCTGACGATGGCCGCCTGCGGAATCGGTCGAAACGCGGCGTAGGGACGTCCGCGGCAGGATTCCTGTGTTGTCATTACTATTTTTTACGAGTCCTGCACTTTTGTGCTAACGGAGTGTCGATTTTTCTTCTTCTTTTTCTTTCTCCTGTCCTTCTTACCCCTCCTCCTTCTTCTCTTCTTCATCTCTCCTCCTTCTTCTCTTTCTCATTTTTTCTCGCCATTTTCTATCTCTCTTTCTCATTTTTTCTCGCCATTTTCTATCTCTCTTTCAGGTTTTTGCTTCACGTTTGAATCAAGGAAGGGGTTTTGTCCGATGAACTCTGTGTTCACGTCAGTCAGACAACACCGTCTGCACGATCGATTGGATGAACTCGCGCACTCCCTGTGATCGATTCCATTCTAATCATCAAAATCACTTAGTTCTCCGCTAGTCCCGTGAGTAGTGAGGGCACTCATGGGCAGTGTCTAATGGTCAAGTAACGAAGGCCTTAACCTATTAGCTCATCCGCCTGGGGACAGTCTGCCGTCATCAAGGGTCAAAGGGTTCATGACCCAAATCTCTGCAGATTGTCGAGGGTTCAGCCTCCTGATGAGTCGGTGCAACTCTGACGAAACAATCTTTTTTTTTTTTTTTTTTTTTTTCTTATTATCATCAGCTTTTATTTTTTTCCGTTGCTGTTCTTGCCTTGTTGTTGTTTGACTTGCTATCATTCCCTTGCTGCCTTACTATGCTGTTTGCCTGCCCATCTGCCTACCCTATGCCTTTCACTGGGTGTGCGTTGTTGCCACGAGCTGTTTGCCAGCCCAGGCCATCCAGCCTAGTATGCGCCTTGCTGCCTTGCTGCACTGTTTTTCTTCCCACCCACCTCCCCCATGCCCTCCAGCCCATGTCTTTTGCTGCACTGTCTTTCGTGCCTCACTGTTTTCTGCTCTTTGTTTGCCCACCCACCTCCCCCATGCCCTCCAGCCTATGTCCTTTTTTCTTTCAGATGTTTCTACTCCAACTGTTCCAATGTCCATTTCAGGGTTATGTGAGAATTGTCTTCAACTTTTCTAGTGCATGGGTCTCTCCTTGACGGAGTACACTTGTTGTGTACTGGAGCTACATCAGAGTGTGTTTACACACACAGCACCACACACACACACACACACACACAGAGAGANAGAGAGAGAGAGAGAGAGAGAGAGAGAGAGAGAGAGAGAGAGAGAGAGAGAGAGAGAGAGAGAGAGAGAGAGAGAGAGAGGGGGGGGGGTACATACCACGGCCATGATGCCAAAGTCCTTTTCATTGAGTTCCTTTCCTTGGCAACTATACCACAGGAACATGGCCTGTAAAACACCTGTTCGAGGAAGCGAGAGAAGCTCAATGTCAAAGTCAAAATATGGAAAACTGGAAATATGCAATTGAAATGATCACTCTTGATCTGAGTATGTATGCTCTTTGAGCCCGCACTCAAGTTTCATTTTTGGGAACAGCATTTAGCTGGGTTTGCGGTCAGATACATCCGAGAAGGTCCTAGAAAGTCCCCCTGGTGTGAGAATGTCCTTAGTTTTCTAGTGATTTTAAGAGGGAGTGTGAGTGGAGGGGTAGGTGACTCGAACATCACATTGTGTGTTTGGTGAAGAGGGAGGGAGAAGTTCGGTAGTTTTGTACACCTTTTTCTCTTGTGTGTGTGTGGTTAAATGCGAAAAGTGTGTGGTCGTTTATTTGTTGCAAACTCGGGGCGTTCTCACTCCCTTCTATTTATTTATTTATTTATTTATTTATTTTGACCTGAAAATTCTGTGATACTAGGTGGTAGCAGTAGTGATTAGAACTGCTGAAAACAAAAATAAAATGGAACTGCTGCGGATCTCCATCTGAGCCTGGCCGGTGATGCCACAGTTGGTTGGGGACCCGCCAAATTTTTTGTAAGGGATGCAGGGATGTCACGGTTGGGTGAGGTCCCACTAGCAACGGGATAGGATAGAAACGAGTTTTTGGGGCAGTCGAGTGACCCAAATCCTGCCGGGCACTACTCGTGATCCCTCGGTCGAGTATTTTAAATGTATTTTATTACCCGAAAAAGTAAGGAGATCTTTGTTCCCCTCCTCCTCTGCTTAACAATGGGCATGCCCGTGCAAAGAAAGCTTCCCGCCAGAATCTTTTCAATCGTTTGGGGGTGTGGCCAACCCCAAAGGAGGGTGGGGTTGGCCCTGTCTCTTATACACATCTAGATGTGTATAAGAGACAGGTGTGTGTGTGTGTGTGTGTGTGTGTGTGTGAGAGAGAGAGAGAGAGAGGGTTGTTGCAGCAATAATATTTCTCAAAATTTTAAAATTTAATTCGGAGTTTTTAAACTTTACTTCTTTAGTGGTTGTTTTTCTCCCGAGAAGAAGTGGCATTTAGATGACTTCATGGCTCTTTTTTATTTTTCTTGTGTTTTTTGTTAAGAATCTTAAGATCATGGACACGCTTGGCCCATTGTTGTCATATTCTCCAGCTCAGTTCTCTTCTCCTCCTCCTCCTCGATACATCTCCTAGTCGCAGTATAGCGAAGGGTTATGCCGTTTTGCCTGAAACATCCAATATCCTCCTCCTTTGCCTCCTGCTCTTCCTCCTCTTCTCCTTCCCGTCCTTCTTCTTCTTCTTCTTCTTCTTCTTCTTTTTTTTTTTTTTTTTTTTTTTTTTTTTTTT